GGCGCCGTCAATCTGTTTGGAACACTGAACAAGTGGAGATGTTTGGCTATATACATTATATGGTGTATACATTATAAGTTATGCTGCTCTAGAGAGCCCATTAGCCCTCGCTTAGTAATATTTTATGATCTTGTATCATACTGAAGTGGGGCTGCTTGCTTATTATTTTTTGCGTAAACATTCCTCCCGCCTTTATATGGGGATGGGAATCGTTTAGGTTTACAATCGGCAGTTAAACAGCTGGTTCGAACGCGGCTTGGAAATCAAAAGTAGCAGCCTAGCTTGTGTCTTAGCAGGATACTTCAGGAGTTTGGACGAAATGTATTCGAACCGGGAAATTCGGATTAGTTCAGCGCTAGCAATTCCTGACGAACAGTCGCCTCGGCAAAGGATACTTTACCAATCTTTCGGCATTCATCTAAGACACATTTGTGAGAGGTAGATTGGCTTTCACTCGTTAAAATGGACTTGAAATTTGCGAAAGGTGCTCAGTATTTCCTACACATTCACTCATTCCCAGGTCGTCGATTACCTTCAGAAGAGGAACGGGATCCCTGCTTCGTGTGGTCTTTCATAGGTAGCTATAGAATAACTGCGAAATTGCAACTGCGGGGTTCAGTAGACCTTATTCAAAACCTTACCATGTCCTGAAGATTAGTCGCTTAGTGAAATTCTTCTGTGCTTTATATGCGTTTATGAATAGAGGAGTACTATTAGAGAAAGACTTGCTTCATAACCTCTGCTTTTTAGTTTCTTCTTTCTTCAGCAGCATAGCTAGTTACTAGGGTCGGTTGTTCAGTTCCTTCCGTGAAATCTGACAGTGGTTTCTGAGGAGAGTACGAAATAACGCACCGAATCATGCCCAATCCAATTCCAGAACAAGCTGATTACTAATTAATGTTTTTGACTTTGTCCTTCCCTTTATGGAAATCACCACGTCAATCATTTCTTCTAAATCTCGTTGACTGTTTAGGTAACAAAATGACTTGTTAGACCCTGTGAAGTGCGACGTGAGTGATTTCATGAGCAACAGTTTCAGGCGGTTTGATTTATGCCCCTCGTGCACCCTGTTGGGAAATAGGACATTATGTGTGAAAGATGATCTAAGTGTCAGTTCCAGTAAACGTCGGTCGAACGCTAGTTCTGGACCATCTGCATATATGGAACTCCAGTCAATGAGGGGAGCATTAAAGTCGCCCATAAGGAAGATATCAGGCCAAGCAGTTAGTAAAAGTAGCTCCTCTGACAGAATAGCGTCATTCTCGAGGTCACTTCTTGGTAATTAGTAGACGGTCAAAACTTCCAGACTAGGTATTCCGGTGCCTTTAAATTAAGCCAGGTAGCCTCAACTCTAGCAGTCCGTGTTTTACGTAAGGGACAACTCCCTGCCCCCCCCCGCTCCTACCTCTACGAAAAGATGAAACCCTTGTAATGCCAATCCGCGGTCCTCCATGTTTTCACACAATCAGGTTTCTCTGAGGAATTTTGAGTATCTAGAGGACACTTTAGCTGTCGAGATCTCCTGCTTACTGGTGACTTGAAAATATTTTGTTCCCAGTCGATTGGGAAGTAGATAGTAGTCAGCACCGGTTACTGTCTATGATTTTAGGTTTTTCTATGTGTATTCGCACCACATCCACTGCCGTAGCATTGGAAAGACGAGGCTATCTAATCTTTCCATCGGGGAAAAAATGTGAGTGAAGTTAACAATCGTAATTCCTTAGTGTTAAACTTTTCGAAAACGCAAATGTTCTTAGGAGAAATGGACACGATTCAGATGGCCAGTATTCGATATGTGGTCAAGCAAGTGTAGCAGTGAAATGATAGCAAAATATGGAATTTAAAAGATCCTGCTTTCAACCTAGCGGGGGGTGCAATTTTTTAAACTGATACTTCAGTAAAAAATATTAGTATTTATAAGGTAGAGTCATATTTATAACACGGGCTCCTTTCGTCAGTGGACGTGGTACAGGAACATGTATTTCGGTAGGGGGCGATCACCGAGACAACAATTTAAGTCACTTTATTAAGGGAAGAGGGCTTTCGCCCTTGAACTCCCTATTCATATCCATAAATCGCAAAAGATCTCAAAGTTAACAGTAGTACATCAGACAAATGTAGAGTTAAAATCAGCAATATGTGTAAGCCAATTGCGAACTGCCGCTGCGGATTCAATGTTCATTACATGTATCACAGTTTCTCAGCAAATGAAAGGTCATCTCCAGAGACGGTGGGTGTGCAGCGAGAATTGACTTGTCTTGTATTACAGTGACAAGATAAAATAGGGTTTAGCATCCATATGTTGAATCCACACCAGGTCGTCTCACGTCGTCGTTGCTGTAATACAAAACACGTCAATGCTCACAGCACCCTCATTGTCACTGAAGATGGCCACTTGTACAAAGTCGAAGGTCCAAGCAAACACAACTGCCGTCCAAGTGATCAGGCCCTTATCTTTCTTGCAACAAGAACCTGGGAATCGCATCTTCGCTTCCATTCGTATTTCAGTATATGTTTAATCCCGAGTAAATTATAACGAACTGGGATTTTTTGAGTTAATTGGGTAGCCCTATAAGCTAACCCGTGTGGATCTTTAGACAGAATCTTCTTCCATTCCAAAGTGTGCAATTGTTATTTACCATTTACACGTCCGTTGGTCCTTAACGGAATAAAGTTAATCGTATTTAACTTTGGATGCTCGAGTATTGATAGTGCAAGAAC